GCACGGGCAGGACCCAGGTTTGATCCTCAGCACCACACGTTGTGTCCATCTACACCAAAAAATAAATATTAAAAAAAAAAAGCCACACTCGTCTGTAGTTTTTTTAAATCCCCAGTGCTGGGGACCAAACCCAGGGCCTTAGGCAGGCTAAGTGTTCTACCAGTGAGCTACACCCCCAGGCCTGCATCTATAACTTTGCTCTGAATTTTTAGAACTTAAAAAGAAAAAGAGGACTCAGGGAAGGAAGGAAGAATGGAAGGAAAGTATGAATGAATGGAGGAAGGAAGGAAGGAAAGAAGGAAGGAAGGGAGGGGAGGGGAGCTCAAATCATCCAGAGGTTCAAAGCAGGGGTACACAGAATTTGATTGACATTTCTAAACATCACATAAGTCGCTTCCCCAGTCAGAGCTCTGATTTCTTCATCTCTCAATGGGTTGGATAATACCTCCCATTTGATTTCTCTGTGACCATCTTGGGCTGTAAAACAGAATCCAATATCTAAATGCTAGGGCTTAGTAGTAGATTAGTTGCTTAGGATGTGTGAAACCCTGGGTTGATCCCCAACACACCAAAAAAAAAAAAAAATTAAATGCTCAAGGGCAGTGACTCTAAGGAAGAATCACCATCTGTGCATATTGAACATGTACATTCATCCCCAGAACTTCCAGAAATGCTGCCTTCCTGTTGTGAGGTTCAACTGGGCAACTGGCATTTTTGACAAGCACCCAAATACTCCGGTGCAAATCACAATGCTCAGCACAGGATCTCAAGTTTAATTGACACAAAACCACACATCAGTTCTCTTTTAACCCTAACTACCTCAGGCAGAAGGGTCAACCAGGCGTTGCTCTGTTTTTAGCACCAAGACTTTAGCACTAGATTATCTTCCTCTGGAACAGGGAGCTGGCTGCAGGCAACAGAATCTACCTGGAATTTAATCATACCCACCACATTCACCTTTATTGTTCTATTCTATTATGGGAAGTGAAAAGTATATCAATTAACAGTAATAATACTAACTTTCCTTTAAAATGGATGCATTTAAATTTATACAACTGAAAAGGAGACAAAAACAGAACATCCAATAATGTATTCTAGAATGAGATGTCTATTAAAAAAAACTATTGCCCACATAGACTCACTGCGAATGGGTACATGAATAGAATACACATAATAACGATTTGTATTATGAGTGATCCACAAATAAAAATATTTAACATATATGGAATGTATTCCATATGCAAATGTCTACACAGATGTATTCCACATGTAAATTAAATGTGAAAATCATTCTTTCTAATGATTCATATGCTAAATCTAAAATTTGACCTAGCAATGGATAATAAATAAGAATGGATGATTTAGACAAAGGACATTTACAGACATTGCTCCAAATGGCCAACAAACACATGAAACTTACGCTCGACATCACTAATCATTAGGGAGATGCAGATCAAACCTCAACTAATACCTCATGTCCATCAGAATGGCTATTATCAAGGAAACAGAAAATAATGACCTGAGTGAGGATGTGGATAAACGGGAGCAACAGGTATTGACTGATGTGGGAATGTAAAACGGTGCTGCTGCTGTGGAAAATAGTGTCACCATTTCTTGGTATGATGAGCAATTCTACTTCTACGTTTATACTCCCAAAGAACTGAAAGCAGGGATTCAAGCAGAGTCCACACAGGGAAGAGGTTTGATAGGGGCTCCCACTGTTCAGTGGAAGACTCAACTCAGCCTCTGATTTTAAGTTTCGCGTCCCACCTTCCATTCTAGCTGGTGTCCTCTGCAAGTCTAGACTTGCTTCAGTTCAATCTCTAGAAAATAAGTCTTTGTGAGGTTGGACAGGGTCATTACCTACTGGTTGTGAGAGGTACAGCAGGGTGTGGGAAGAGGTCCCATCTGCATCTAATTAATAATTTCATTTGATCACCCTTGTTTTCAGCATTACAAACACACCACTCCCAGAGGTGTCTGACTCTCAATCCTAAGACCTTGAGCGGTTTTCAAGTGGAAACTGACCACTGGGGCTTTTACCTTTCTCCTGTTCCATCAGTTGCTATTATCACCATTTCATTTTCTTGTCGTTGTAAGTTTATGCTTTAAACCTGGTGTTTAGTGGGGTTTCAGGAGGGTAGAGATAAGTGTGTGTGTGTGTGTGTGTGTGTGTGTGTGTTTAGCTGGAACTCCACCCCAGTCACTCTTCAATCCCTCCAACCTGGCTGCCATCCCCATCACAACACTGATATTGCTCTGAGCAAGGCCACCTAATCTACCGTGAGATTCTGTCATCTGAGCCTGACTCAACTGCAGAGAAATGGGTTGATTCCTTCAACTGCACTCATCCCTTGGGAGCACAAATTCCAAGACCTCCTGATTGGCAAATCCAGTGAGCATTTCTTTGTCTTCCTCTTGGTCAGCCTCTTAGCAACACAATAGCCCAATCTCTTCTCAGCTTTCATGAAACAGCTTCTCCTGGTTCTTCTCCTACCTCACTGATATAGTTTTGATCTTAAATATCCCCCAAAAGTCCATGTATTGGAGGCTTAGACTCCAGAGAGGTTTTATTAGGAGGTGGTTCAACTTTTAGGAGGCGGGGCCTAGTGGGAGGCTTTTAGATCATTGGGCCAACAATGGCCCAAAAGCAATGAAGCCAACTGATAATGGACTAGAACCTCAAAAACCATGAACCAACATAAACCTTTCCCTTTAGGAGTTGATTATCTCAGGTATTTGTTACAGTAACAGAACGCTGTCTAACATACTCCATGACCAGTCTTTGTTGCTTCTTCCTCTTTTGCATGACTTCCAAATCTCAGAGGATTTGCCTCAGGACACAGATGGCTCACTCTTCTTCTCCTATATTTCCTGCTTAGAGATCACTAGTCCGTGGCTTAGACACACCTGTATGCTGCTGACTCGCACGTACATACCAGCTAGTCCTGACCATTTAACATAGATGAGGTTTTGTTACCTGGAAAAAAATCTAAATAAACCCACTAGTTTCACTTGGTCTTATTTGACTTAAAATTAGTTAAGGTACTTAAAAATCACTAATTTTGAAGGTCACACAGCTGGGCAATTGATTATTAATCTCCCATTAGATTTGCTATAGATAACACCTCCAGTGTGGTTTATGATGGTAATGGTTGCCTAGGTTACTCTTTAGGGAAGCAAAGCCTGCTTTTGCTGAAAACACTGACTCTTCACTTGGGCCTACAGATGTCTGAGGGGTACCTGGAATGGGATGAAAACACTTGGCATCTCTGTGTTCATATTGTATGTCTCTTATTGCCCTAGCTTTTGGGTTAGATTCTACTCAGCTCTACATGTATACCGGTTGATAATCTGAGAAATGTCTTATCTATAACTATAATATAAAGTTAACTTGAACTAGACTTGCTTAGTCTCTCTCTTACTCTCTCCTACTAAAAACACCTACCAGGCACCATGATAGGAAACAAGAGACCATGAAAGGAATAGCACCTGAAAGATCTCTGCTTATTTCCAGAAAAAGACATATTCTTCCCCTTTATTAGCCTATCTCTCTCCCTCACTATTCCTATCTCATATCTGAAACCCCTCAACTCCCAAGAGTTAAGAAGTTGATCTGACAGCATATGTTCCCACATTTCCATTCTTTCTCACTGAATAATTTTTTTCTTTTTCTCCATCATTAATATCAAACTTCGGTTTTTCTATAAGATGAGCTTCTTCCTCATTTTTTTTTTCAGTACTGGGGATTGAACTCAGGGGCACTGTACCACTGAGTTACATTCCCCAGCCTTTTCCTTATTTTTTATTTTAAGACAAGTTCTCCTTAATTTGCCCAGACTGGCCTGCAGCTTACATCCTCCTGCCTCAAACTCCTCTTCCCTCTGTAGTTGGGATTACAGGTAAGCACCACCACATCTTGAGATGAGCTTCTAAACCTGGGTTTGAAATGGTTACTTCATGGAAGTCTAATGGGCACGTGGAACTTAGTTTTTCCAGATCAGAGGGCCCAAATCTGTATTGCCTCCAAGGCCAAAATTTGTAACTTCTCCTTTACATCTTTTTTTTTCTCTCTTTCACTCCAACCCTTCCTTTCTCTCTTCCAACAAGCCAAACTCTTCCTAATTTCAGGACTTCTGAGCAGGCAGGTCTTTGCACAAAATTCTCTTCCCCAGTCATACCTTTTCACAGACCTCTGTTCCCACGTCACTCCCTCTGCACCTCTGAGGGCCTTCTTCCTCACCCCACCACTTCTCATGTCCTCACAACAATTTGTTTGATTTTCTTCAAAACATTCATCATTATCTGAAATTCTAGTATGTACAATATTTTTTAGTTTTAGGTGGACACAATATCTTTATTTTACATTTATGTGGTGCTGAGGTTCGAACCCAGGGCCTCATGCATGCTAGGCAAGCACTCTACTACTGAGCCACAATCCCAGCCCTCTTACAGCTGTTTTTAATCTGCATCAGGGCCAAGATTGGGTCTTCTTTGGGCCTGTAGACACCTAATTTAGTCCCTGGAATAGTTGGTTCTCAAAATCAGTCACTGAAGCAAATAAAAGAATACATATAGTTCAAGAAGAGTTGTAGGAAGCCAAGAGGAGGGCATGCGCAGACTTTTAAAGTTAAGATGGCAAGAAAGAATGTACCCTCCCCATCCCTGCTCCGTTTCAATTCTGGACAGCTGCCATCACCGAAAGATCCTGTTCCCCAAATCTCAGGATGCCCAGTCCCTCCCTGTCCCACCTCTGTGGATTCCCCTGCTCAACCCATTTCCCTCTGGGTCAGGTTCCAGCATCAACCCCGCCCCTCCCCGCCTAATCCAGTCATGCTCTTTAGGGCGGAGAAGTGGCCCCATGGGCCATTGGAGACTTGGCAACAACCAGATTTGCCTAAATAGGGCCCAGCCAGCTAGAGGCAGAGCATTGCTTCCACGGTGAGCCATCCAGCTCTGCAGTTGTGCACGCAGTAGAGATGCAGGCTCGGGCTGGCACCATGGCCAAGTTTAGGATAAGAGTATCCACTGGGAAAGCCTGCGGGGCTGGCACGTGGGATAAAGTATCTGTCTGCATCGTGGGGAGGCGGGGAGAGAGCCCCCTGCTGCCCCTGGACCACCTAGGCAAGGAGTTCACTGCGGGCGCTGTGAGTGCGTGGTGGGTGGGCAGAGGTGGAGATGGAGCGGGGAGAGCAGGAGGCACTACCCTTCCTCATACTAAACCTACTAAACTAGGAGGAGGACTTCGAGGTGACGCTCCCCCACGACGTGGGCCCAGTGCTGCTGCTGCACGTGCACAAGGCACCCCTTGCGCTGCCTCGCCCACTTGGACCCTTGGCCCCCGACGACGCCTGGTTCTGCCGCTGGTTCCAGCTGGAGCCACCAGGAGGCATCCCACTCCGCTTCCCCTGCTATCAGTGGCTGGAGGGAGCAGGGGACCTGTTGCTACGAGAAGGGGCAGGTGAAGAGGCGGGGGGGAGGGGGGGTGCTGGTGTTGAGGGAAGGGCAAGGGGATCGTTGCAGCAGAACATGGTGGGGGCGGTGGGCAAGGGGAAGTGGCAGCCCGGCTTGGGAGAAAAATGGGGGAAAGGGACCTGGTGGAGGGTGGCAACAGTGGAGGAGAGGGTGGCTGAGATCCAAGATAGGAGGGTTTCTCCTTCCCGTCTTCTACAGCCAAGGTCTCCTGGGCGGACCACCATTCTATCCTCCGGCGACAACGCCAGGAGGAGCTCCAGTCCAGGCAGCGGATGTACCGGTGAGGAGAGAGCTACTGTTGCAGGGAGGGGACACTTAAGGGATGAGGGACAGCCTGGAATCGCTGTTGACGACACAGACTAATACCCCTGTCTTGTCCTCTCCTATGAAAGCTGCTTCTGGAACCAGCAGCATCTGCATCACCCAGGCACCTGTTAGAAAAGCAAATTCTCAGGCACCTCCTTCCTCTGACTTGGACTTTTCGGGGGGTGGGGGGTGGGCAACAATTTTTGTCTCACAAGTCTTTCAGACGACTGGTGCCCCCTGAAGTTTGAAAATCACTCCTGTAAAAGCCATACCCTTGTATGCTTGTCCCCTACCCTGGGGCTTTTACACATCGGCTTGTATCCCTCCAGAAATGTGGGTAGAACCAGAAACACACCACACAAGCCCCAGGAGATCCATGCCATCCATGAGCTTGTTAGAAAATGCAGGCTCTTGGCTGGGATTATAGCTCAGTGGTAGAAGCTTGAGTAGTATGTGTGAGGCACTGGGTTCGATTCTCAGCATCACATATAAATAAACAAAGGTTCATCAACAACTAATAAATATATATATATATATATTGTAATGCAGCCTCTTGAACCTAGCTCAGACCTACTACGTTAGCACCTACAGTTTACCAAGATCCTGGGGTGAATCACACACACTTTAAAATCTGAGAAGTAGGGTTTGGCCACCACCTGGTGGCAGTATGCTTTAATTGCAAATTGTTCTTTGAAGTTGAAAGCTCAATTTTTGAATAAACCAAAGAATGAATGAGTGACAGAAGGACTGGCTGGAGGGGTCCTCAGTTTTCTGGAACATGATTTTACCAGATCACTCAAAGGTTTTTGGCTGTGTGATTTGCTTGATAATGAGCTTTAGAGACGCCTCAGACCAAGGCAGAGTAAGTTACTGCAACTCCCACAAGCTGTGAAGGCTGAAGTGCTTCTCTATAGGATGCCTGCCAAGGGTAACTGAAACCCCAGGAACAGCCCCAGCTTCATGACTACCTTCCCTCGACAAGATGCATCTGTGTTAGTAAGAGTTGTGTGCTTGCATGAAGAGAAACCGACTCCAACTAGCAGTCAGATAAAGAGAGAATTTGTCAACAGGACACAGGGGTGGTTACAGAAGTAGGGGCAAGAGGGTTGCCAGATTTTGGGCCAAAAATCAAGGCAACTCCCTCCCAGATGCTCCCCTCCCTCCTTCTCTCTCTCTTCCTCCCACTCTCTCCCTCCCTCCCTCTCTCCCTCCCTTTCTCTCTCTCCCTCCCTCCCTCTCTCCCTCCCTCCCTCTCTCTGCCTCCCTCCCCCCCAAATTCTCTCTCTTCTCTTTCTCATCTCTCTTTCAGCTTTCTCTGTTTCCCAGTCCACACAGTGGGATATGACCATAGCTGACAATCCCTATATACACGATGTAATGTAATCTAGATAGCCACAGAGAGACGACCTTTCTGGCTCTGCCCCAATCTCAAATTCCCTAGGAAGGACTCTGATTGGCCTAGCTCTGCTCAGATGCTCAACTCTAGACCATTCAACTGTGAGCAGGGAGAAATCTCACTGGGAATATGCAGCTCCCTTGAGCCTTGTGGTCCAAGGAGAAGGGCAGATCTCAGGAAGGTCCTTGCTTGCAAAAGGTGGCTGGCTTGACCAGGACCCACAAGGGGACTTCCTCTGCCCTAGTCCAGGGGCTTCCTGAAGTCTCCTAATGATCACCTGCCTGTTCCACCCTTTAGCTGGAAGACTTACAGCCCAGGTTGGCCTCACTGCCTTGACCAGGCGACTGCGAAAGACCTGGACCTCAACGTCAAGTACTCTATAGTCAAGAACACCAAATTCTACATGAAAGGCAGCTCTGCGTGAGGATGCCCACCCTTTCCTACATTGGCTTAGATGCCCTACCACCCCTGCCTTCTGCCCTCCCCTACTCAGCTCCTCTGCCATTGGTGATATGGGTCACACAGCTTCCTGCCCACTACCACTTCCCATAGGCAGTGACTACCTTAGGGGCATTGACCACCTCTGAGTCTCATCCTAAACCTGAAAGCTGGTTTAGGATTCTAGAAAGGATAAGGCCAGGTGACTGGGGAGGGTCTTCCAGGATCTCTTGCTCCCTCCCATCCCTCACATCCTCTGGTAGTTTTGCAGAGCTAAAAATCAAGGGACTTCTGGACCGCACAGGGCTCTGGAGGAGTCTGAGGGAGATGAGAAGGATGTTCAACTTCCGGAAGAGTCCAGCAGCTGGTGAGGAACTTGGCACAGGGCTCCTGACCTCTTCCCAGGACATCAGCTCCCAAGACTGTTAGGAATCTGAGAAAACCAAATGCCAGTTCTCTGTGGGACTCTGTCCCTTCCTAGACCTTATGTTTCCCCATAGAGATAAAAAGAGAATGTGGACTTTGGGGGATCCCTGATGTGCTGATACAACAGGCATTTCTAGAGCTACTACCCATCAGACACTGGCTTGGGGCTGTGGACATAGAACTGGTGGATATTAATTAGACTCAAAAGCAAATCATTAGGGTCATTTGTGAGACATGACCCTTATCTCCAGGAGTATGTAAAAGGGGGACCCACCCTGGCTTGAAGGGGGGCTTTGCTCTCTCAAGAGGGTTGAGTAGGCATTCACAGTGCCAAGGATGGGGTGTGGAGCGGAGAGCTCTCTACGGCCAAGGGAAGGGCTTGGAGATGGAAGGATCAGAGGGAACAAAATCACTGCTGTGGCCAAAGGAGATTGAATGAGGGAAGGAAGGTCAGAGAGGAGCCTGGAGAGGCAGCCAGGGCCCAGATGGTGCAGGACTGTGTGGGCCATGACAGGATTTGTGCCTTTCCACAGTTCAGTGTGAGACTATCGAGTTGTGGCCAGGTAGGGACTAATATGGCCAGATGTGCTATGTGGGGGTGGTTGGGGGTCAGAGTGGAAGCAGGAGGATCAGCTGAGTCTCTGGCTAAGGTCAGCAGAGGATAATGGCCTCAGCAAGGCAGTGGCAGTAGGAACTGAGTGGACAGGTGGGCCAAAAGGTCCTGAGGATGGAAAAATCAAAGGGACTTGATGGGAGGAAGCGGAGGGGACTGCCAAGAGAGATCCTGGACTCTGCCACAGACAACCAGGTAGATGGAGTTGCCATTCCCCAGGATGCTAGGCAGTGGGAGGGTCCAGAGTTGGAGAAGAACCTATGTTCTATCTTTGATATTTTGTAATTGAAGCTGGCAAGTCATCCCAGAGAATGTCAGGCAGATGGGGAACAGTGGGATGGGCACTAAGATTTTCTGTTTGGTGAATGGGCAGGAACTGGTGCCAAGGGGCCAGGAGAGGTCACCCTGAGAAAACTGTAGGTTGCTCATGATGAATTACAAAGGGAACTCGACTGTAAGGTCAGGAGGAAACCTCATGGCGCTGGGGTGACTGGTCCCTGTGTCCCCCATCCCCATGCAGAATATGTGTTTGAGCACTGGCAGGATGACACCTTCTTCGCCTCCCAGTTCCTGAATGGCCTCAACCCTGTCCTGATCCACCGCTGTCGCAGCCTCCCAAAGAACTTCCCAGTCACCGATGACATGGTGGCCCCAATACTGGGCCCTGGGACTAGTCTGCAGGCTGAGCTGGAGGTGGGGCCCAGAGCCTAAGCTCTGCCAGCCCCATCTCAGTGCCTTCAGGCCTGTCCCCTGCTGGAGAGGGAGGGGTACACTCACATTTGTTCTTGCATGCCTAGAAACATCCTCTCCCAAAACACACTCCTCTCCTAGCCCTAAATCTTCTCCCTGCTTCCTACCCCTCATTCTTTAGAAAACCAAATGTTAGCCCCAGCTCCCCTTCTCTCTCCACAGAAGGGCTCCCTGTTTTTGGTAGATCACGGCATCCTCTCCGGTGTCAGTACCAATGTCATCAATGGAAAGCCTCAGTTCTCCGCAGCCCCAATGACCCTGCTATACCAGAGCCCAGGGAATGGGCCTCTGCTGCCCCTTGCCATTCAGGTCTGTACCTGGGGATAGAGAAGGGCAGGTCCCACCATCGCAGACAGACACTCATTGCTGCCTCTTTCCTCGCTGCTTTCCCCACCCCCCAGCTCAGCCAGACCCCCGGTCCCAACAACCCCATCTTCTTACCTACTGATGATAAGTGGGACTGGCTGCTGGCCAAGACCTGGGTGCGCAATGCTGAGTTCTCTGTCCACGAGGCCCTCACACATCTACTGCATGCGCACCTACTGCCTGAGGTCTTCACCCTGGCCACACTGCGCCAACTGCCCTCCTGCCACCCTCTCTTCAAGGTTAGTAACTCATCAGGGTGGCCCAGACTGTGTCCCAAGCCTATAGGTCCCTGCACCTTGTCCTGCCCCTTGCAGTGCTTCTTCTGAGTGGCCTTTGCTCAGGCATTCCTTTCTTCCCAGGCTGGGATGCAGAGGTCCCATCCCACTTCAGCAGTGTCTCTCTGCATAGTCCTTCTGGCAACCTCCTTCTAGGAAAACCCTGAGCCAGGGCAAAGTGGATGCCATGCCTCAGAGAGGCTCTCTTCTCAAAGCAGATCAGATGAGATCACCAGAGAAGCCCCAGACCCAGGAAAGGGGCTGGCAGAAGCCAAAGAGAACATCGCTTTGAGGGACCAGCAGGTTTCCTGCAGGTTATTCCAGGGCTATTCTCTCAGGTTGTTGTGTAGGTCCCCTGAGCCTTGCTGAGCCTTCAGATGACATAAATCTGTTTCCTCCATGGACCTGAAGCATCTCCTCTGAGATTTCCTCCTCCCAAAGCGGCACAGACTCTATTCCCACTGAGATGATATTCTGGGCCCCAGACGCAGACCCTGCTCTGTTCTAGTCAATCCAGGCTGTTTTTTTTTTGTTTTGTTTTGTTTTGTTTTTCTGACTATATGCAGTTTTCTAGCACTGACACTCAGAAATAGGCTCTGGGGGACAGTTCTATATTGTCAGGCCTATGGTGCTTCTCCTGCCCCGGGCATAGGAAACCACAGGCTGCCAGAACTGGAAGCTCACAGGGCTCATCCAAATCAGAATGCTCATTTGATAAAATGATCTGGTGCTCAGAGAGAGGAAGGATGCTACTTGGAGGCCTAGAAAAAGATGCTAAGGAGATTCTGCTTTGGTGTCTGGGTCTGGAGCACTGACCCCTATGTCAAGCTGCCCCCTCTGGTCCCTGTAGTCTCTTTCTCAGTGACTTATTTAGTGGGTACCTCTGTGGGGCAGTTCTGGGGCCTTCTGCAGCTCTGCCCTCTCCTTCCCCTTACCAGTTGCTGATTCCACACACACGGTATACCTTGTATATCAACACGCTTGCCCGTGAGCTGCTCATCGCCCCTGGCCAGGTGGTAGACAGGGTAAGAACTGCCTTCGGACGTTTCTTCAATTGGAAGAATCAAGGGTTCTGGGGTGGGAGTGGCCCTGACTTTCCAGTATCAGGGCTGCCTCCTGCTTCTGGAGCCAAAACGTCCTAGTGCTCAGGAGCCCTGTCTCTCAGTCCACAGGCCTTGGCATTGGAGGCTTCTCTGAGCTGATACAAAGGAATATGGAGCAGCTGAGCTACTCTGTGCTGTGTCTGCCCGAAGATATCCGGGCCCGAGGAGTTGAAGACATCCCAAACTACTACTACCGGGATGATGGGATGCAGATCTGGGGGGCAGTGGAGCGGTGAGGGGCTATTCCCAGGGAACCAGGGGACAGGAAAAGCAGGAAGACTAGAAAAGAGAGGGAGGGTCCAGAGAAGCCAAGACATGAATGACACTGGGCAGGGTGCTTCTTAGGGTAAGAGGAACTTCTCAGAGAGGAACTGAACCTGGTGCCTCTTGCAGCTTCGTCTCTGAAATTGTGGGCATTTACTACCCAAGCGATGCATCTGTCCGAGATGACCAAGAACTCCAAGCCTGGGTGAGGGAGATATTCTCCAAGGGCTTCCTAGACCGGGAGAGCTCAGGTATGGGGCCCCCAACCCCTAGGCCCTACCCTCTGGCCTCTGCAGGGAGGGCCTCAGGACCCTAGCAGCCCCAGCTCCAGCTCAGCTGTCCCCACAGGTGTGCCCTCCTCACTGGACACCCAGGAAGCTCTGGTGCGATATGTCACCATGGTGATATTCACTTGTTCAGCCCAGCACTCAGCCGTCAGTGCAGGCCAGGTAAGGGAAGATCAGTACAAGGGGTGACAGGATGAAGGGTGGGGGCTCCTCCACCTTATTCTCCCTCTCCCTCTTCAGTTTGACTCCAGTGTTTGGATGCCCAACCTGCCGCCCACTATGCAGCTGCCTCCACCCACTTCCAAAGGCCAGGCACAGCCTGAGGGTTTCATAGCCACCCTTCCACCAGTCAATGCCACATGTGATATCATCATTGCCCTCTGGTTGCTGAGTCGGGAGCCTGGAGACCAAGTGAGTATGGGCATAGAGGACGGTGTTGTGTTTATCTTCCCTGGCACAGACCCAATTGTGCCATCAAGAGCTGGGTTCCTTCACCCCACAGAACCTCCCCCAGTGGGACACACAAGCTTTGAGCACCTCACAATGTAGGATAAGTGGCCAAATGAGATGATGTATAGAGTCACCCTTAGCTTCAAAGGCAATATGTTCCTTTAAAACTTTAAAAATTCCCCAGAGCTTCCTGCAGATATCATCACTTAAGAAGAAGGATTAAGGGGAGGGGTGTGGATGAGATTCAGTGGGGACTGGGGCCAGAACAAGCTAAGGTGGGTCACAGGTTCTCAGGAGATGGGGACCTTGGCAGCTTCCTCACCCAACCTTGTGGTTGGTCTCCAGAGGCCCCTGGGCACCTATCCAGATGAACACTTCACAGAAGAGGCCCCACAGAGGAGTATTGCCGCCTTCCAGAACCACCTAACCCAGATCTCAAGGGACATTAAGGAGCGGAACCAGAAGTTGGCATTGCCTTACCCCTACCTGGACCCTTCCCTCATTGAGAACAGCGTCTCCATCTAAATCCTGGAGAACATAGTCCCATGTGACATATGTCCTTCTGACCACATCACAGAAAAGGATCCCCAAGAGAAACAGGCCCCAGAGTGCCTCTCTTGAGACAACTGTGTAACTCACCCTCCTCCTCCTCAAAACAGAGAAACAAAGGGCTGGGGTGTGGCCCAGTGGTAGAGTGCTAGCCTAACATGTGTGAGGCCCTGGGTTCAATCCCCAGACCCCCAAAAGACAAAGAAAACACCCACAGAGAACAGAATCCTGTGGCACAAGATGACAAACCTTTGGAGACTCTAAGCCTTAAAGTGCCTGCACAACTCCCTTGAGGGTTTTACTAGTTTTGTTCTGCCTTCCATTACCTTGGACTGAAACCAGGAAATGATCCTGGCCTACTGACCACAGCCAATCAGGCAGCATGGTCATCTGACTCAAGGGCAGCCATCATGTAGGCTGCTGGACCACACAAGAAGTGGCTCAGCCTGAAGACTGCCCAACAGGTTGATCATGACCTACTGTCCCAGCTTTAAAATGAATGAATGTTTGAGAAAGGATCATTAGAAGATAGAAGGAAAAGGACACATGGCCCAAGGGCCAATTGCAGGCAGTGCCCTCCTCTGTTTCTCAGAACTTGCCCCGAAGTGTATTTTAAAGCAGATTCTATTTCCAGGGAATTAGAAACTATTAATGTATCACTAATCATACTTTGCCTTCCTGATTCCATCTTCAATGATGGAATTCCAAATTCTTCAATTTTATTTATTTATTTATTTTGTGGCCCAGATTTAGCGAACATTCATTAAAACAAATGAGTTCTTTTGAATTCACCTGATGATTTTCATTTCTGACTAATATTATAGGTATCAGTGCTTTAGATTTTGAGCTTCACTAATATTTTTTAATCTTCTTTTTTTTCTTTTGTACTGGGGATTGAACCCACGGGTGCTTTACCACTGAGCTACACCCCCAGTGCTTCTTATTTTTCATTTTGAGATTTTTGTCTCTAAGTGTCTGAGGCTGGCCTTGAACTTTGTGATCCTCCTGCCTTAACCTCCCAAGTCACTGGAATTACAGGGGTTATCTTTGTAAGCAAAAATACTAGTTTTATTAATTTTTATGCACCATAATTTTACTAATTTTTACAAAATAACGAGCAAAAGACAAAACATATACTATATCTGCATAAATTTAACCATGGAACTCAATGGGCGAATGCTTCAGAAAGAACAGTGTGGGTTGGCAGGTAACGTGAATTATTCTTCCCCATTCAGAACCAGTGTACCAAAAGAGCTATGCATTTATTAAACTTCTTTGGTTTTGATCAATAAACAATTCCTGCTCACTTAAGTCAATAAAGGAGTTCATGGGAATGAAACTGAGTGTTTTGAGGAATTAAAAGAGTTAAACTTTACTGTCTCAGAAAAGATCAGAAGTTCAGGAAGCTCTGGGCAACTGGACCACAAAAACCAATGGACACTTTCCCAGGCAGTGCAGTGGAAATAATGAATAACCATTTTTTTTTTTTTTTGTCCTTGACTCATTTGCCTCAGGATTCAAACTCCTTGAGGAAGGTTCTGCTTGAAATGTTAGGAACTCCTGGTTGCCATAGAGAGGTTCTGTTCACCAAGTATATCATATACTTCCCAACATTTCCCAGCCAACCTTTTGCTTAGTTTGGGGCCATGTGATTAATTCTGGCCAATGGACCGTAAGAGGAAGTGATGTCTGTCACTTCTGAGTTGCAGTTGTGAGCTGTTGTGCCTTCTTCAGCCTTTGACTGCTCTGCCGAGGCCACCTTGCAGACATGTTTCAGATGACATGAGCCCCATCCTTAGCTCCGTCACTGGACTGGAAATTCAGGAGGACAGGGTTCAATCCCTTAATACTGAAAAAAAATGAATCCAGCAAAAGCAGTTTGAAGATATCCTACCGAACACTCCCATATTTGCACAAAGAAATGCTTACAGTGATGTTCTATGCAGTATTATTTATAAGATGAGGGGGAAAAGCTTTTAAAAATCTAAATACACTTTATCCTGAAGAATTAAAGACCTATTACTACAGTTGTACTACTGGTGTTGGCCAAATTATATCATTATATTGTGTGCATGTAAACAAATCACTGTATATAACTATAATGCACATATATTCCCATGTTTATAGCAGCACAATTCACAATAGCCAAACTGTGGAAACAGCCTAAATGTCCATCGACAAATGAATGGATAAAGCAAATGTGGTATATATACACAATGACATTATGGCATTTGCAGGAAAAGGATGGAACTAGAGACCATCATGTTAAGCAAAATAAGTCAAACTCAGAAGGTCAAGGGTCATACGTGTTCTCTCATATGTAGAAGCTAAAGAGGAAAAAGGAAAAGAAAGGTGGGAATGGATCTCCTAAACACCAAAGAGAGATCAGTAAAGGAAAGGGCCCAAGGAGTGGGAGGCAGGGAGGGAGGGGGAGTGCTGGGGAGTGATGTTGGCCAAATTATATCATTATATTGTGTGCATGTAAACAAATCATTGTGTATAACTATAATGCACAAAAAAATATGGAAAAAAAATCTGGGCTGGGGTTGTGGCTCAGTGGTAGAGCGCTTGCCCTGCACATCACGCACAGGGTTCCATCTTCAGCACCACATAAAAAAATAAATAAAATAAAGTTTAAAAATAATAAAATCTAAATACCCATCTGGAAGGAAATATTAAATACATTAAGAAACAGTCCTATGAAAACAAATGTAGCTGTTAATAAGGTTAATCTGTAAATACTGACATGGGAAAATGGTTACATAAGTGGAAAACAAGTCACACAATGATAAGGGTAAGACTCCTTTTATGGTTAAAAAAAAAAAAAAGCTGAGTATGTAAACCAAGTCAAATTGAAAGGAAAACATCTTAAAGGGGCAATGCATTCCTACTTGTTGTTAAAAAAAAAAAATGGACAGAATAGCAGGGCCTGTGAGAAGCATAGAGAGGGGAATTTAATTTGAGAGAAAGAGAACAGGAATTCAGGAAAGGACATCTATTTGATTGCCTGTCATACTTCCAGGAAATAGCCTTGTTGAGAAAAAATTATCCAAAAAGAATAATTATCAAAAACTGATACATAAGGCTGGGATTGTGGCTCAGTGGTAGAGCGCTCGCCTAGCACGGGTGGGACCCGGGTTCGATTCTCAGCACCACATAAAAATAAAGGCATTGTGTTGTGTCCATGTACACCTAAAAATTGTACATATATATAATATATATATATATCTGATACATAAAATCAAGAGGACAACCACCCGTTCTGTTAAGAATATTTAACATTCTAGGAGACTGTACCATTGTTTGCTATTATTAAGGAAGGTCTCAGGTTTTGTAAAGTTCATGTAATTTGGTTCCAGCCGAAATGCAAATGATTTCTGTTCAGGCAAAAAGATTGAAGGGATACATCATGTATAACCAGAAGAATGAGAAATTATACTCCATTATATATGGAGTATCAAAGTGCATTCTACTGTCATGTATAACTAATTAAAATAAATTTTTAAAATGACTGAAAGGGTTATGGAAAATAATATTCCTACAAGACAGTCCTGAGGGACACAGCGAACTCTCTTCCCTTCCTGGGTTTATCCCCAGCATCTCCAGCAAAAGCAAATATTCACCCCTTCCCAACCACAATGGGTCTTGAAGGGAGGAGGGGGATACTAAATCACTGAGCCCTGGACTTTTACCCTTGCTCATTGCCGATTTGTCCTGGAAGGAGAAAAGCAATTAGTGAAGCCCTAGGTAACAATGGGTCCCAGAGGAAGGAAGATAAGCCCTCCATCCACGCTGGCCTTCTCCTTCTGCCTACTGGCCCCAGGAGGATGACTTCAAGGTGACACTTCCCTAAGACGTGGGCCGGGTGCTGCTGCTGCTGCAGGCGCGCAAAGCTCCCCCTACGCTGTTCAGGGTCCTTGACCAGGGTTCTGCGCGTGTTCCTCCGGGAGGCAGTGGCTGGGGGCCCCCCTTCGCAGCCCCTACAACCTGGAGCTGGAGGGGGCGGGACCTGGAGCTACGAAGGGCGGAGCATATGAGCCAGCAGATGGTGGGCCAGAGCTACAGGAGGGGGCCTGGCCTAACCGAGAGAAGAGGGACAGGGCAAGAGATGGGATGGCTGAAAGGAATCATACTTGGGATGTGGCTGTGGGAGAAGACCAGTTCTCAGGAAGGCTCAGGTGAAGTTGGTAGAGGCAGAGTGAGGATGCAACCCAATATGGAGAGTGGCTAAGATCCTTCTTTTCTCTGCCTAACATCTCTGCTCTTTGGGCCCCATGACATCTGCTGTCTACTGTTGAGTTGGGGGTGGTCAATGAATGATATCGGGCAAACTCCTGTTTTGGAGGCAGCGTCTGCCTTGGATGGAACGGGGAGTGGGCAGGTGATGGGAATGGCCTGTTTCCCTGGAGGAAGAAGTGGAAGGAGGTTGGTGATTGAGTCCCATGTTCCAATTCAGAGATGCCTCTGCCCCAGGCCTGAGAAGAGAAGGGGAAGAGGTTGATATGTTGGAGGGATTAGGAGCAAGTGCCTTTCTCACTCCTTCTCTCTCCCAGACAAAATCATCTGGCAGGCAAGACAGCCAGCCCCGCTCTGTCCAGCACCAGACTGAGATTAAGGAGAGGCAGGAGAAATATCTGGAAGCAGGAGAATTCTGGACTAATAATCCCTGAGTCCCCAACTCCTGCACATACCTTCTTAGTTTGGGGAAACAGAGACTCCTTTGCTCTTGCCCTCTGAAGTCAGTTGAGCCTCAGATCTGACCAAGAACAGCATATGTGGGACCCTGGCATATTTCCTTCAAGAATCCCTGTCCTAGAATGTTCCCTATAAAACCAGGCCCAAGGAACCGCTCTTGTATCCCTTTCCAATCCTCAAAGTGTGGACAGTCCAGCCACTAGCCAATCACTACCATCTTCACCTCTGCCCCTGCCCAGGTGAAGTGAGGTTTTCCCTAGGGATACTCCACTGCCTGGACA